TCACAATGGGCACATAATTTATCACGACTTTTTCACGGTGTACATTTTTGTTTTTCACAGGGTTTCTAAAGTCTCTTTACCCAAGTTATCAGTTGGCACCTTTTCACGGCCTTTTCACGATAAATAAAGGCATATACTGTACTATATCTACATTTCACGGTCTTTTCACAATGGGTACATAATGCATTATCACGACTTTTTCACGGTGTACATTTTTTTTTCACAGGGTTTCTACGGTCTTTTCACCCAAGTTTTCAGGTGGCACCTCTTCACGGCCTTTTCACAAACTTTTCACAGCCTTTTCACGACAGTCTTTCCACGGCATTGTCATGGATAAGTTTCACGGCCCATCGCAAATTAACCGTGACAAACACTGTAAAAATCACCAGCATTTTTACGGACATTTTCACGGCCAATCTACGGGCCATTGTTCCAGTAGTGAGACTGGGTTTAAATACGACAATGAAGGAAAGACATTCGTAAAGGTCAATGGAGAAGAATGTTCAGAATTGGACTACTTCCTACATAAACTTGGAAAAATCAAGCCAACACACAAGCAAGTGATGAATAGCATTATGAACAACACGTCAGATCATCGTCCAATAAAAATGAAAATATTATATGGAATCTCGAACGATGCTGATTGCAAAAATCTAACGAAGGAGTGTACAAACCGAGCTGTCAAATGGGACAAAGTTGATATTGACCTATATGCAGCCATGACAAATGAACAATCGGTTTCTATACTCAACATGCCGCTGGATACATTAGAACAAGCTACATCCGTCTTAGAGCAGGTGCATGAATTTCTAAATGATGCAGCAGTTACATGTGCCTCAAACAAGCCAAGGTACAAGGCAAAACTGAAATTGAATGCATGGTCTCCAGATATAAAATTAGCCCTAGACGAGATGCGTAAATACTATGCGCAGTGGGTAAAGCAAGGAAAAACAAAGGACCCTAAAAACAATACATACCAACAAAGACTGAGAACTAGAAGGGAATTTAGGCGACAGGTGCGAATTGAAAAAGCTAAAGTCAAAGATTCTGAGAAACAACGCATAATGGAAACAAGAACAAAGGATGCAAAACTGTTCCACCATCTAGTAAAAAGCAATAGAAAGATCAGGGGTAATGCTATCGTGGATTTGCATGTAGGAGACATATGTATGTCTGGTGAGCAAAATGTTATGGAAGGCTTTAAACTGCACTTTAGAAACTTAGCAACTCCAGAGGAATCTACAGTCTTAGAGAATAGACAATATCATCAGGAAGTAGAATATGAAATAGGATTAATTACAGAGATAGTGAAAGATAAGAATATACTACCGGCCACACTAGAAGAACTACAAAATGCCATCAAATCAATTAATGAAGGAAAATAGCTGATATCTATGGAATCACTGTTGAACATATATTACATGCAGGGAAAAATTTGGAATGGTTATTACTGAACCTCATCAACATAATAATCAAAGAAGGCAAGGTACATGAAATGCTAAAAGAGGGATTACTCACCCCCGTTTTTAAGAACAAAGGCGAGAAAAACATAGCAATTAACTACAGAGGAATAAATGTACTACCGGTGTTAAACAAAGTGATAGAAACAATCGTAAAAGTAAGGATCAACCCAGCAGTACTTGTAACCCAAAATGTAACTCAACGAGGATTTACGGCAGGCTCAGGACCAGCAAATGCAGCCTTACCGGTAGAAGAAATATACCGTGAAACCAAAGACAATAATCAAGAGTATGAACTTGTACTGCTGGACGCAAAATCAGCCTTTGATGTAGTTATACATTCCCATCTTATGAAGCGGCTCTATCATGCAGGAATCGACGATAAACACTGGACAATCATTCAGAGTATGCACACAAATGCAACAAGTGCAGTTAAATGGAATGGCCAAACTTCCGAGCTATTTAATATACTACAAGGAGTACGCCATGGAGGGATCCTAAGTACCGACCTATACAAGCTTTACATCAATCCACTACTCAACATGCTGGAAACATCAAATTTAGGATGTAGAATTGGAAATATACTCTGCAATACTAGCGCATGTGCAGATGATGTCGCACTCATGAGCAAAAAGACAACCGATATGAAAGTACAAATCAATATGGCAAACACTTTTGCCGGCATGGAGGGATATAAACTAAAGCAAAAAAAAAGCGTGGCTATAAACATCAAACCTAAGCCAACAAGGAAAGAAACGCTATTGGAAGAATATACAATGAATGAAGCTACTACGTCAGGAGTTGACTCAGCCATGCATTTAGGAATAATCAGAACCAACTCTATGAAGCAAAATATCATAGCAAATATTGAGGAGAATATAAAAAAATCAAGGAGAAGTGCTTATGCTCTACTTGGCAGTGGCTTCCATGGTAAAAATGGACTGGATATGGAAACAATAATACACCTGTATAAAATCTACATCTTGCCAGTGTTATTATATGGAATGGATCTATTAACACCACGATCTCTTAATCTGGAGAAATTGGAAAAATTTCAATAGAAAATGCTTAAGCAACTAATGTCACTACCAACTAACACACCAGATCCCGCAATTAACATCTTGACGGGAATACTACCAGTTAAGGCACAAATACACTTAAAGGTTATGACCCTCTTCATAAATGTATGTACTCAACCCAACGAAAGCTTAGAAAAACAACTAGCAAGGAGGCAATTGTGCATCAAGTCAATAAATAGTAACAGCTGGTTTATTGAAGTAAAAACAATCATGCTAAAATACGATCTATGAAATGCAATTGAGTGGCTAGATATTCAGATGAAAAAGAAAGAACTGTAAAACCAGAAAAGGGATCAATGCCTACAGGATTGAGCGAATCACATCCCTAGCTAAGCTCTATACCGACCTTCATTACCTTAACAGTGATATATTCTTGCCAGGGAAAATACATCCAATATTGCGAATCAAACATCAATCTCCAAGAGACAGCAAGAGAGTACCTACCAAGATCAAACTATTAACTGGAACTTATATACTACAACCTCTAAGATATAAGATATACAAAGAAGGAACTGAAGATCATTGTATAGCGTGCGATCGATTGTAAAGAAGAAACATTAGGACATTTGCTTATACAATGTGAAGCTTGGAATTACCTGCGATATCCAATTCTACAAACAATTAAGGACCCCCTTACCGCAAATGGGGATGTGCGTGAAGAAGACCTTACATGTGAAATGACAATTCAAGTATTAATAGACATTACAAAAATACAAAAGATATACAGAATCACATCCGACCTGATGTCTAAAATAGAATTCCAAGCAAGAAGGCTAGTGTTCCTCATACACAATGCACGATATCAACTGGTGATGAAAGACCAGGCAAAGAAAAAGGATGCCTGAGAGTGGGTGCAAGGATGGGAGGGGCAGCAATGAATAATTAAATAAATAATTGAAAATGTACTTAATACAATTTTTGAAAGTATAATTCTTTTATTAAATCTTATAGTCTCAGTTAATAAATAATTTGCGAATTAACTATAAAATAGTTTTGAAAGCTTAATTTTTCTATGGACTCTCATAATACACAGTAAATAAATTAATGTCAAATTAACTTAAAATATAAAGGTGAATTTTTTAAAGGTCACAGACTATAAATTTTGTCTTTTTCCTTCTTTGAATTATCTAAAAAGTAAACATATGATTTAATCTGTAAATTTTATTACATTTAGTATCGGCAGACCAAAAAAATCTAAACTGCCCGAGGTAAAAAATCATAAAAATTCTAAACTTCCCATGTAAAAAGTCTTAAAAACTGTAAAACTTCCCATGTAAAAAGTCATAAAACTGTAAACTTCCCATGTAAAAAGTCATAAAAACAAACTTTAAAAGTTCCTAATGTAAATAGTGTATATAATGTTGTGGTGTTATGATTGTTAATTTTTCATTATTTTTGGTGGTGGAACTGTTCGACATACGAAAGTATGGTTACCCTATAAAGGGTGTAAAGATCCATAGAAGAAGAAGAGCCGGTTGTTCAGTGGTTGTCGTTTGTTGGTGTGGTTCATAGGTGTTTCTCGTTTAGACCGTTGTTTTCCTGTGTGAATTGTTTTACACTAGTCATTTTGGGGTCCTTTATAGCTTGCTGTTCAGTGCGAGCCAAGGCTCCGTGTTGAAGGCCGTACTTTGACCAATAATTGCTAACTTTTTTATAAATTGTGACTTGGATGGAGAGTTGTCTCATTGGCACTCATACCACATCTTATTTATTTTCAGAAAATGTAAATATTTTTCATGACAAACTTTGACAATGTCGTCATTATAGTGGTGTTACATGTATAAGGAAGATTTTTCAGTCATGTTTTATGCAAATACATAGACTCCACTTTTTCTTCTGCAAATCAGACAGTTTTAAGTACATTTGATCTCAAGGCCAATTTGGTTTGAATCGTACCTTCTCCTTTGTCCATGAAATAATCAGCATTCAGAACTGGTTTTTGTACCGTTTTTATGACTGGTACAGACTGACGGACTTTCATGAAGAACCTTTTATGTTATTTTATAGAGTAGCCTTACACATGTGTTGTTGAGAAAGAAGATTATGATACACTTTTCTATATTGAAGGGAAGCTACATGTATGTGGTATCATTGCAACAGATATAGATCGATATGCACAGACTTGGGATCTGTAGGAGGTCTCATGTGCATCCATTAATAAAAGTGAAAGAATTAAAAATTCTGGCTGGTACTCCAAAAAATTATACATTTTAAAATGGCTTTTATGCATTAATATAATGAACCAGACAGTGTCTTCCATTTGTACATTTCTGTTTGGAATAAAATCGGGATTTCTTATAAACTCTTGTGATCCTCCATATATCATTCCTATCAATAATGAGACAAAGGTGAGAACATCATACAAAGGTAATCATGGTAATAAGTTTAAGAACAGATGATTGATGCCAAAGTTCAGAGTGACTTTTATGATCTGGTGAGCTAAAAAGAAACAAAAAAAGAGTTGTATTTGAACATATTTTAATAGTTCTATATAAATTCTTTATAACAATCACATACATGTAAAGCTTTACACACATTAACAACATCCTTCCATGATTAATATAAATAAATGTCTTTGTGAACTTACTTGACCTACAAATCAATAAATAAATATCAAAACACTTTATTGATATTTATAATATACATTATACAGGATTGTTTTAACCTTTAACTTTTATTTGGAAAAAAAAATAAATTTTAAAGGATAATTGTCTAATCAATCATGTGTCAATCATCAATAAATACTTCAGTATAAATCCAAAAAATGATTGGGAATCTTTGAAGGAAATCTCCCCATCAAATTTCATATGAACATTGAAAAACCAAAGCTTAGACTTGTAGTTTAAAATGAAGAAAGCTGAAAAAAAGACAATTTTTTTGAGCAAAACATTTTTTCATCATTTGCAAACATGATTTTATTAATGCTTTAAACCAGTAGCTTGTATTTCTAAATAAAATGAGTTTCTTATTTAAAATTCAAACTATTTTCTTTCAAAATAAACTTTAAATAAATGGGGAATGAGTCCATGGGACACAGATGATGCCCCTGCTTGCATATAATGTTATTCAGGGATATAACTCAGGAACTGTAAAAGTGACACGACCCAAATTTGTACTTGATCTGTGTTTTGTGGTAATTAGCATTGTGTATAAGTTTCATAACATTTGGTAGAGGCAAACTAAAGTAAGAGAATGGAAACAAAGAGGGCATAACTCTAGAACAGCAAAAGTGACGCCACCAAAATTCGAACTTGATCTGTGTTTTGTGGTAATTAGCATTGTGTATAAGTTTCAAAACATTTGGTTGAGGCAAACTAAAGTAAGAGAATAGAAACGAAAAATTCAGCAATTTTTCCATCTGTAGAGGGGCATAACTCTAGAACGGCAAAAGTGACGCCACCAAAATTCAAACTTGATCTGTGTTTTGTGGTTATAAGCATTGTGTATAAGTTTCATAATATTTGGTTGAGGCAAACTAAAGTTAAAGAAAGGAAACGAAAAATTCAGCAATTTTTCCATTTCTAAAGGAGCATAACTCTAGAACGGTAAAAGTGACGACACTAAAATTCAAACTTGAATTGTGTTTTGTGGTAGTAAGCATTGTGTCTAAGTTTCATAACATTTGGTTGAAGCAAACTGAAGTTAGAGAACGGAAACAAAATATTTAGCAATTTTTCTATTTGTAAAGGGGCATAACTCTAGAAGGGTTAAAGTGATGCCACCAAAATTCAAACTTGATCTGTGTTTTGTGGTAATAAGCATTGTGTATAAGTTTCATAACATTTGGTTGAGGCAAACTAAAGTTAGAGAACAGAAACCAATTTTGAAACGTACGTACAGACGGACCAGGGTAAAACTTAATGCCCCCTCCGCTACGGCCGGGGCATAAAAAAGTTATAATCCCAAACCAGTCTCCATTTTCATAAAAAATAATCTTCCTTACAATGAATTTCCCATATGAGAGACCATTCATGTATATATTTGCAACTCCTAAAAGATATACGCATCATTTACAAATTCTGTATTTTATTGATCATATGCATACATTTGTACTTAATAACTGTTGAGGCTTTCAAGAAAATATGCATCATATTAATTTTTTTTTTAATTTAAACATTTACTTTTGTTCAGATTTGAATTCCTTATACTTGTAATTACTTTCTTTACTGAGATTGGAATACCCGAAATGAGACATTATTGATTATAGGTTGCAATTCTGTAAATATAGACAATGCAATTTCCCATAAGAACTCCCTTTGCGGCTAAAACTGTGCCACTTTCACTATGAAGTTTACTGAAAAATTATATCCCAGAACGGAAAGTTGATATGCACTACTATTTTATTCAAAGGTCAAAATATAGGGCTGTGCGGCATATTTTCAACATTTATATGCCCTGAACTTCTAAGATTTTAAACTTATACTAAAATTCTATATTACCCCTACCTCCGCTTTTGGACCTCCTAAGAATTAAATTTTAGGCGCTACCATGTTTTTCTATACTGGTAACATTCCCAAGTTATGTCTCTATGAAATGAAACACAGAGATCATATCTGGGAACCAGTACGTTAACAAATTAACATATCTATGAATATTATATATCTCCCCAAAAGAGGCGTGGCTTGTGAAACAGCTGTATTTACAAAGTGCAACCTATAAAGTTTAGTAGTTATTTCACATTTTCTGGCAAAAAAAATAAATAAAGATTTTTATAAGTTAATTAGCTCACTGTAGAATGCAATGACATTAATTATATACAACATTATATATCTAGAAAATTTCTTCATTGACACTTGTACAGGTAAATGTATATTCCATGGGCTGGTAAAGTAGTTTTGTGGGAACTAGTAACAATCACTACAAGCAACAAACAGAAATATTACTTATACATTATAAACTGAACAACAAAATAAGCAAACCATCACCTTTAATTTTTGTGTTGGCAACGTAACAAAAGGCATATATTTCTTTTAATCCAATGATAAGATTGGTAAGAAATTTAGAAAAATTGTTTTTTATATCAAAGTAGACAAAGACTATAAATTCATAAATTTCTGACAAATTTAATATTACAATTTGCAAAAATCTATAGAAAGATACAAAAAACAAGAGGCTCTCAAGAGCCTGATTCGCTCACCTGTATTTCAGAAGAGAAGATTTTTAAATGTTAGCAAACTTGATGAACAAATTGTGTAAAATTGTCTTTAAAGGGCAATAACTCCTTAAGGGGTCAATTGACAATTTTGGTCAGATTAACTTTTTTGTAGATCTTACTTTACTGAACATTATTGCTGCTTACAGTTTATATATATCTATAATAATATTCAAAATAATAACAAAAAACTGCAAAATTTTGTTAAAACTACCAATTCGGTGGCAGCAACCCAACAATGGGTTGTTCGATTCGTCTGATAATTTCAGGGCCGATAGATCTTGACCAATTAAATTTTACCCCATGTCGCATTTGCTCTAAAAGATTTAGTTTTTGAGATATAAGCCAAAAACTGCATTTGACCCTTATGTTCTATTTTTAGCCATGGCAGCCATGTTTGTCGATGGATACAAACTTCGGATACAATTTATAAGCAAGATACCCTAAGGAACATTTAGTTAAAGTTTGAAGGTAATTGGCCCAGTAGTTTCAGAGGAGAAGATTTTTAAATGTTAGCAAACTTGATGAACAAATTGTGTAAAATTGTCTTTAAAGGGCAATAACTCCTTAAGGGGTCAATTGACAATTATGGTCAGATTAACTTTTTTGTAGATCTTACTTTGCTGAACATTATTGCTGCTTACAGTTTATATATATCTATAATAATATTCAAAATAATAACAAATAAAAACTGCAAAATTTTGTTAAAACTACCAATTCGGTGGCAGCAACCCAACAATGGGTTGTTCGATTCTTCTGAAAATTTCAAAGCTGATAGATCTTGACCAATTGAACAATTTTACCCCAAGTCAGATTTACTCTAAAAGCTTTAGTTTTTGAGATATAAGCCAAAAACTGCATTTGACCCCTATGTTCTATTTTTAGCCATGGCGGCCATGTTTGTCGATGGATCAAAATTTCGGATACAATTTTTAAACTAGATACCCTAAGGAACATTTAGTTAAAGTTTGAAGGTATTTGGCCCAGTAGTTTCAGAGGAGAAGATTTTTGAAATAGTTTACGACGACGGACGACAAGTGATGGCATAAGCTCACATGGGGCCCTTCGGGCCCCGGTGAGCTAAAAAGAAGAAGGTTTTTCTGATATCTACTGAACACATATTGTAAGAATTGACAAATCAGATTCTTTTGATTTTCGATTTTTTAATGGAAATGTCAACATATCACATGCAAACAGACATTATAGAAGGTAGATACCTCCATTATATCTCAATTAATTACCAGGAATGTTTAATTTTTTTCACTGTTTAAAAAGTTTTAACAATTGAGTAAAAACATGAAAATTAAATAAACATTGTCATGATTGTTGTTGGATAGAAGTTGTGCATTGCTAATGTTCTTTCGTGTATATTATGATACCATGGATACAAGTATCATTTATGAATACTTCTCAAAACTTGTTGTTTGAATTTGAATGAGTCATTTATCATGTATATTGTACAAAGAGTCATGAAAGATAACAGGTTAATGTGTAAATATCAAAATACAATTAAATGTTTAAAAACATTTTAGAACATGCATGTTTAAAAGCAGTTTGTTTTTAATGAATAAATAATGCTCCAATTAAAAAGTAACAAATTAAAGTCCCTTAATATAAACTAAACAGTAGACTCAGAAAAAAATAATCATTTAAAGGAGCCTTGCAGGCTGCAGTGATTATTTAACCAGTTTTATCTAGCAACAGAACATATTTTACTAAACAATCTAAAACACACAACTTTGCATTCATGAAAACAAATTTAGAAACACTAATATACATATACAAATCAGCTTCACCTAAAAAATTAATTAACAAATCTACACACAGGTATGACCCATAAAATTTCCAGCATATAAAAAAAATGTAAATAAAATATTTTCACTGCATGTGGTTCTAATAAAATGCATATCTAATATAAGATCCAATCTCATACTCTACATTTGTAACAATGACTACAATCAACAAGTTCAATATTCCTTTGTTCTAACAATAAATATGAGCACATACAACAAATATGTATAAGAATAATTTAACAATAATCATAAATAATATACAATTATTATTTTGTACATGTACATGTAGTTTATACAGAAACTTTTGACATTTTCTTTTCCCTAAATTTATTTAGCCTTCAGTTGTGCATTAATTACAGATTATCAATGGTTTTTCAAATGAGAGGGTGTTTCGAATTCTCAGCTTCAATCTCATTGAAGGGCAACAGCCCTGACATGAGATATGGCAGAGAAACATCCATGAGTTTGAAAGATAATTGATTATCTGTTTATCACTATCTTGCCTATGACGTCGTTGATGTTTACATTGATAACTGCATGTGCGCCAATGGTTTCTAGTGATAATTTTCTATCTCAAGCGAGTAGCATTATATGAAAAATTATCATAAAAAAGATCAAAGGAAAAATACTCCAAATAGCGATAATGCTCTATATCTAGTTCATAACCAGAATTCAGATGCACTTGATGACAGTATGAATACCATTTGTTATTCTTTTATAATTTATCTCAAATCACTAATTTCCCCCTATTAGCATGATTAGCACATAATTAAATCACGAAATCCAACAGCAATTATACAGTGACTGAAGAATATAAATCCTTCACAAATGGGAAACAACTCTTGTTTGACATGTTTGATGAAAAGAATCAATATCTGTATTTTTAACAATCTAGAAAGTAATACTTGCAACATGTTGTGCAAGGCTTTGCAAGCACTGGCTTCAATTAAGGACACTTACACACGTGCTCATGAATGGATAAAGATTATATAAGGATACGGTTCAAACTCTGAATAAATATTTTGTTAAAATATTGACGCAGAGATATGTCTTGCTATGTTGTTATTTAGATAGTATAAGCATGATAAGGCAAATGTTAAAAATTTACCTATGTAAACTATGCAAAACATTCAAAGTCAATGAACCATGACTGAAGGTGCTGGACCACATAATCTCCATGGATATGAGACTTGCAAATGCTTATACCACTGCATACCAAATATCATTGATTTAACATTAGTGGTTCATTTTAAACTGATGTAATCTAAGCAAAACATACAAAGTCAATAGACCATGACTGAGGGGGCAGATCCTATTAATTTCCATGGAAATGAGATGTGCCAATGCTTATATATCTGCAAACCAAATATCATTGACCTACCACTAAAGGTTCCCCTCAAACATTGTCAAACTGTCCTTATCACAAACTAATACATTTTTTTAAAACCAAGCAAAAGTTTCAAATTCAATAGACCGTGACTGAGGGACAGGGTCAAATAATCTCCATGTAAATGAGATATGCCAATGCTAATACAACCGCATAGTACATACCAATATCATTGACCTACCACTAGTGGTTCTCAAGAAACTGACATAATCACAAACTAATACATTGTTGACACCAAGCTGACAGAAAAGCATGACTAAGTCTCACTTTTTCGACTTTGTCAAAAAAAGACAGAATCTGACAGGCAATCAACATGCAGGATTTGTAAAAAGTATATCCTTTTTTCCTTTAAACTGCACATGTATTATACCTGCGGGATTTGTAAAAAGTATGTAATTTATACAAATCCTGCATGTTGATTGCCTGTTAATTTAAATATATATATGTATATAATCATTCTAAAAATGCAGTTTGTGCAAGATGTTTAGTAAGTTAGCAGTGTTATTTAGTAACCATGATATATTTAACATGTTTATCAACAAATATGTCAGTCAGGGGTACTACTTGTACGAGTAATTTTTATTTACTTGAAGAAGTAATTATAATATACCCGGTACTTATATAAGTAAATTTGTAGGATACATACAAGTGTACCGGTATTTTATTTACTTGTATAATTAAATAATTTTTTGGCCTAGTTAGGTCCCTTAGACATTCAGACTTTTTTACTTATCAGCTTATACAAGTAAAAAAGTCATCCTATCTTCTTTTCTTGAATTCTTAGAACTTCTTTGCTCTAACAGAATTTTGAATTGTCTGTCCTTTGAAGATGTCTTTAATATTCATTAAAGTGTTATTTCATGGACAATGAAAATCTCATTTGTCTGTTATGTATCTTAAGAACACTGCTCATTTACAAGTCCCCAAGGAGCAATTTTTGAAGGCCTTGCGCAAATACTTAAGACCTTTGCTCAATCAGTTTCTTTGTTGAATTAATGAGATGAAACCTTGAACTCTTATCAAAAATTATGAGCTAACCTGAGAAAAATTGTTAAAGGCATGATTTTACATCTCAAAACTTGAGAATTTTTGTGGGATTGTAAAAAAAATTTACTTATACAAGTAAATTTTTTTAGAAAATTAAGGGGAGATTATTCAAACAATATATTTAACTTGTATAAGTATATTTTATTTACTTCTTCAAGTAAATAAAGATTACTTGTACAAGTAGTACCCCTGACTGTATGTACATGTATCAATTTAGCAGAAAGAAAAAATAAAACATGAAAAGAGTAACAGAACCATCGCATGGTTTTTTTTACCTTGTGTATTTTAAATTTAACTTCAAACTGTTCAGAATGTACAATGTATATAGAATGAATTAACACCTTAAACTTCGAATCATTCATTTAACTTCAAGGTGCTGTTACAACAAATAAATTTGTGCAACTTTAATGTTATAGTTCTTGATAATGAATAAATAAATAATTTAATATATATACATGATATATGCTGAAAACAATTTATAATATATACTTATAATAGTCATCTATATTGAATAACATCAATCACATTGCTCACTATCATGATTACCAGCTTCAACTTTAACAGAATTATCTACAAAATTCAAAGTCTTTTTAGAACTGTATTTGTGAATATCTTCTTCATTTTCATCTTCTGTAGTAGCATCACTGTTATAACTGATACCATTTGATGTTTGATCGTCTAGACTAGAATTATTGTCATCAGCTACACCATGGACTTCTTTTTTGTGTCTCTTCATACTAGAGTTAAGAACAAAGTATCTATGACAAATATCACATTTATATTTCTTGCCTCCTGGATCATGGACGGATTTATGTCTGGCCAAACAACCATTATCAGCAAAGCATTTACCACAAGTGTCACATTTATACGGTTTGTCACCTGTATGGGTTCTTGTATGGCGCTGTAGACTTTCACTGTGACCAAACTGTCTTCCACATGTATTACACTGAAAAGGTTTAACCCCTGTATGAATTCTAATATGGCGCTGAAGGTTACCATTACTTTTGAATGCTTTATCACAAAAGGTACATTCGTATTTGCGCTCTTCTGAATGCACACGTTTGTGTCTGTATAAATTTGTTGGCATATTAAATTCCATATGACAGATGTCACATTTATATTCTTTTTCTCCGGTGTGTATAATTTTGTGTCTTTTAAGATTTGCATTTTGTGCAAACATTTTTCCACAGATCTCACATCTGAAAGGCTTTTCACCAGTGTGAACACGCACATGTTTACGTAATGATACACTTGTGACAAACTCATGAGAACAGATGTCACATTTAAACATCATTTCACGGGTATGAATCTTGACATGCTGCTGTAGGTTACCACTGATGGCAAAGGCTTTTGGACAAAATTCACATTTGAAAGGTTTCTCACCACTGTGTATACGTAGATGGCATGTTAGATTTCCTTTACCGAGGAAACCTTTTCCACACAGATTACACTTATATGGGAATTCCCCAGTGTGCATATGTTGGTGAAGTTTAAGCATATGTTTAGCAGCATATGCTTTGTCACACTGGTCACATTTGTAAATCAGAGCTCCCTTATGCATATTCATATGAATGTTAAAGCTACCTTTCAGGGCAAAGCCTTTACCACAAACATCACAACGATAAAGATATTCCCCAGTGTGTTTTGGCAAATGAATCTTTAAACCAGCTCTCTGTCTAAATTTCAGTCCACAATATTCACATTTATGTGACCGGATTCCAGTGTGTGTTTCTTTATGAGCCTTAAGACTGCTACTGGTCACGAACCCCCTTTCACACAGATCACACTTATAAGGTTTGTCCCCAGTATGTATGCGTGTGTGTATGACTAGAGTGCCACTTTCACGGAAAGCCTTTCCACACACCTGACATTTATATGGTTTTTCTCCTGAATGAATTTTCAAATGACTCTGCAATGCTCCATTTTCAGTAAATCCTTTGCCACATTCTGAACATCTATAAGGTTTACCAGTGATATGTATTTGCCTGTGTTTTTCTAAAGTTTTAGTGAGGATAAAACCTTTGCCACATATCTCACATTTATAAGGTTTATCGTTATCATGAGCTGTGTTGTAATGATCACTAATATCCTCTTTGGTCAGGAACGGCTTGTTACATATATCACAAGTATAGATTTCATCTGGAATATGTGTTACTGAATGATCTGATAATTCTTCACCACTATTGAAATTCTGGCCACAAATTCCACATCTATACAATGATTCTGGTTTTGTAGTATGATTTTCTACATTATATTCTGTAGAATCTAGTGTATGTTCATTGTAATGTTTGTCAAGTTCAGTGCTGTCATAAAAGCACTTATCACATAACTCACATACACTTGGTTTAACTTCATCATGTTCGTCGTTATTCATTACTTAAGTTGTGTATTATGGCTTCTTTGGTCTTTTCCAAATCAATCGTGTCAGTTCCAGTTAGAACTTTTGAAACTTAACCTTCATGACTTTATTCCTTGCCTCACTCTAAAGAAAAAAATAAAAACTATTTTACGATTGTTTTTTAACAAATAACTTGATAAAATATGGTGAAAATGCACAGGTTTAAATTTTGCAAAATTTGTCAATTCATAACTCCAGAAACAAGAATTTGTGTCAAAATTTGTGTACAATTGTACATGATAACAAAATGAATATTACATAAATTGTAGCATATGATGACTGTATAAATGACATCACATTTTTCTTGTCTGGGCTTTTTATAGCAGACTATATGGTATGTGTTTTTCTCATTGTTGACAGCCACATGCACACTGTTGCCTATATAATTTGCTTAGGCCAAAAAAACTTGTAAACATCCAATGGATTTACAGTAAAGACGTCATAAACAGTCAGAGAAAACATGACCTTGTGCAATGCAAAGATACTGTAAACAGGGAAATTTTCGCTACAGTTTTATTTTCGCAGTAAGAATTGAAACACGAAAATAAAACGACAGCGAAAATTTCAAGGAAACTCTATTCATAAGATGAAGACCATACATGTGTGTATATGAAAAGGATATGCATGTAGAGGACCACTGTATAACACAGATTTTACAGATGACAGATCTATACCTAAAATCATAACTGTATTTTTAAATGAAAAGCAATGTTAGAAATCATGACTTTACTCAAGTTAATCTTATTAAAATGGAAGACGTTCTTTGATAGCAGTTAAGGAATTGGTTTATCCCCCGTTGAAGAAAGATTAGTTGTAATACACTTACTAGAGGCCGAGATGAAACAATATTTATCTGTTTTTTCTTGTAGTTTAGGGAAAACAATACATAGCAGGGACCTTCAAATGTTTAGAAGAGGTCTTAAGCTGTGCTGTGGTTGTGATATGTTTATTTACTATATGACTCTCTGTGGAGCGCACAGACTTATATGTAGAAGAATTTAAAATTTCATTCTTAAGAATGTCCATGTAGTATTTATGGCATACTACCACCACGTTGTTGGTTTCTTTGTTGGCCTGTTATAAACACAAACCGCTTTGAAAGTACTTGATATGTTTGTTTACAGTTACACGACCAACCCTAATTTCATTTCATTTCCGTCGATAAGTGAAAAATAACTAAATTGAAAACAACGTTCAAACCTATGATTGCATTGGATAAAAACCCCAATTTTTATACATGTGCATGCAAAACAAATTTCCTGATAGAGGGGTCTAAACAAACACACAAACAACATTTTCCAAAAGACCAAAAAAGTGAAAAAGTATATTTTAACAAAACGCATTTGACTAGTAGGTCGAACAACGGACGTTCTTAAACCCTGCTGACTGCCATTGTCGATTGCCAAATAAATGGATCACCAGATGTAACTAAATGGATCTCAACTATTAATTTAATACCAAACAGAAAACAATAAACTTGCAGAAAAGATGGTATACCGCAAACAAAAGGTGCAAAAATTAGTACACCATATCTGGATTTCGACAATTAATGTCTCTTCAGTGATGCTAGAAATCTATACGGTATTTGGAAAGCCATATAATTTACCTCAATTTAGGATAGACTCTTGAATTTTGAAGAGTCGAAATGGGATGAACGGATCATATAAACCAGAAAAGCAAATATAATACAAGACCAAACGAAAAAATATAAACAAGTCTAAATTGAAAAAACTTTCAAACCTATATGATTGTGTTGGATAAAAACTGCAATTTTTATATGTGTGCAAGCAAAACAAATTTCTTGGTAGAGGGGTCTAAACAGTCAGGGGTACTACTTAAACAAGTGATTTCATTATCACCTATTTCAGTGATTTCATAAATTCAGTAATCACCTATTTAAGTGATTTTGGTGATTCCTTTGATCTTCAAATGCTAATTTCATTGATTTTCTATATTTTGACAAACTTCTCTATAATTTTCCTACATAGATCAATAATCCCTTTTTCTTTGTATATTAATTTCACCCGTGTGCTTGGGCAGTAAGTTAGTACCCTAAAGCTTTTAAAAGTACCCTTGAGAATTTTTCTGTAATCAAATATTCATTAACTACTCTTACTATCAGAAAAGGTCAACAATATTAGGTAACCTGATTGGTTTTCTTTAGAGTTAGAATGATCTAGTACTTCAAGGTTATGTCCTGATCAACAAAGTATTCCAGTTTTTGCATATTTTAAATAAACTGTAAAAACTGACAGGCTTATCAAGCAAAAGACAATTTTCTGCATGTACATAGTTGATTTTTCAATGGAATTCTTGTCTTTTTACCAATAAAAATATCAACCTTGTGGGAAAAATATCAAGAAAATGTTATAAACACTAGTACTTATTGAAGTGATTACATTTTAACTTCTCAAATTACTTAAGCTTGTTTCAGTGATTTTAAAAAGTCTGTGTCTATTTTTGTGAAAAATTTTAATATTTCACAGCCAAAATCACTTGAAGAAGTGATTCTTAAATCACTTGTTTAAGTAGTACCCCTGACTGCTAAATACAGCACAAACAACATTTTCCATAAGACCAAAAACGTATTTGACTAGCAGGTCGAACAACGGATGTATTTAAACCCTGCTGACTGCCACTGGCGATTGCCAAATAAACGGATCACCAGATGTAACAAAATGGATCTCAACTATTAATTTAATACCTAACAGAAAACAATAAACTTGTGGAAAAGATGGTATACCGCAAACAAAAGGTGCAAAAATTAGTACACCAAAACCGGATTTCGACACTTAATGTCTCTTTAGTGATGCTAGAAATCGAAACGGTATTTGGAAGGCCATATAATTTACCTCAATTTAGGATAGACTCTTGAATTTTGAAGAGTCGAAATAGGATAAACAGATCATATAAACCTGAAAGGCAAATATAATACAAGCCCAATGAAAAATATAAACAAGTCTAAATTGAAAACAACGTTCAAACCTGTGATTGCGTTGGATAAAAGCCGCAATTTTTATACGTGCGCATGCAAAACAAATTTCTTGGTAGAGGGGTCTAAAAGACAGCATTTTAGTATATATATGATGTCTCTGGCATGTCTGTATAAACCTTTAAATTTTTGGGAAATGATTTTTATAATTAATTAGTTCCTGTGGGTGAACATTGTCATTTTGCTGTGAGATGAAGTAATGATTTAGGGTTGACCTACATTTGTACTTGGAACATGTGGAAGGCCTGCTACGACTGATTCCAACAACAAAGGTTTAGGTAACTGTGTCATACATTTGTACACCGTTTTGTAGATACAATGCTAGGCAGATTTACAAACCAAAACATTTCTGTGGGATGGATGACCAGGTTTTCTAAATACAGTGAAAGTTAGTGACTGAGTGTCATTTCTCAAAATGTGAGATGGGTACAAATGTACCTTTTGTTATATAAAGTTGCATACTTTTAAATTTTTTTAACAGAGACTGAAGAGAGTGTGGACTGAATTTAATTCATGTATAGGGCAAAGCATCCAGATCTTTTCAATTACCAGGTTGTTTTGAAGACTACTGTTAAACTACAGACGAAGAAATGAAGAGCTGCTGTGTTTCAAGAAACTGCCTATGTGGCAGGTAGTGCATACTACATTGATTTCTGCAAACCAATGCTGAATTCGGGACACATAAACCCTGATTTAGCTAATTCAATAGATATAAATAGTTGGGTTGACAGTTATTGTATCATAATTGATAACCTACAATCCATTTTTTACGATTAAAATTTGTTAAAATATAAATTTACATCAACACAAGCACAGACAAGAAATGCAGGATGTTGTGCACAGATAGAAATTGTAAGTCAGTGTCGGTAAGGGAAGCGAAAATTGTCACGAATTACTTTTTCCTTCGTTTCAGTGTGTTTTCATCATGATTAATAGTCGAAATCAGAATTTAAGTTACAATATTGTTGCATTGTGGAGAAATTATCACAAAATAAACATTTAGTAATAATAAGTAAGCAAGTGATTGTTTTTCCGTAAAAAGGTCAAAAGAAGGTGTGTTTGGATATACGCCTGAGGTTGTCTATAGCTATGATGAGAATTTCGAATGGAAACCTATGACTAATTGATAAATGCATTAGTCCTAGATGGAAACTTGGAAAAAAAAGAAGACGAAGGATACTTAAGGGAAAATCAAAACTCATAAAATGAACACAGAGTGACAAAATCATGACAAAACAAGTTACATTATCAGCTCTTTTGGATTTTACCATATTTGCTCTCAATTAAATACTGAAAAACAAGCTTCTTCAAATTTTGTAACAATTAATTTTATTAAAAAAAATATTCAAGCTTGTATCATAACTTATCCTCTCTATTCGATAACAGCATAAAAAACCGCAAAATATAACTTATTGTAGTGAATCCATGTTCAGTTTCTTGTATATTCCTCAATTAATTGTGGAGCACTACCCATAGGGTATAATTGTAGCAACTATATACACCTTAAAACATAAGGAAACATATATAAACTTATGTGCAGATAAATGAATAACAACTCGCCCCACTGCCAAATTGCCCCACACTAAATCACCACACTTTTTCACCAACTCGACCCACTTTTTACTTACTCGCCCCCGAGCTCGCCCCCTCCGTTGTGAAAAATAGTAAAATCCCGATGAATTAAGTCCTACCAACTCACCCCACTTATGAAAAATGATAAAATCCCGATGAACTTAGTAAAGGTCTGCCTACTCGCTCCACTCAGGAACATATATATTGACATATATAGATATGCTGTTTCCAGCTCCACTTATAAAAAAAATGAATAAAATTTTACTGCATCAAGGACTTCTCGCCCCACTAATGAAAAAAAAAAGAATTAAACCGTGCTGAATTAAGGCCTACCAACTCGCCCCATTTAAGAATGAAATGAATACTGATGAAAACCTTAGAATGCCTCTTGTTTCTTTTAATTCTTTTCTTTTGGTTGAAACAAAGCAGAAAGAAGAAAGTATCAGCATTTTTGTGACGTAATATGTTATTGACCATTGACTATTGTAACTGTAAAACACTGATTGTGTAGATT